CTGTCACTAATGTTACCAGGGCTAAAGGTATTTTCTGTTCTGAAAAATAGAACAGTCTCGTCAGATGAGACTGCTTCTCCCACTAGTAGTTTTTTCCATGCAGATGGGCAAATGAAGCTGCCCCTGGTCTGGGCTGGCTGGGTACAGCAAAAGGGAAAACAAAATTGTAACCGTGACAGTCACAGGTTCTGCTTATCTCTGTGTCTCTTTGGGTTGAGGCCCCTCCTTTAAAAATCACCCTTCTTGTGCTGACAACCTAATGATTCTGTGTCCCAGGCTGCCCTGCAACCCCTGTGCCACAACCAATGCATGTGACAAGCCTATCGGACCCTGCGTCACCAATCCCTGTGGGCCTCGTCCTCGCTGTGGGCCCTGCAACACCTTTGTGTGCTAGATCCCCGTCAGCCAGCAGGAGGACAGCACGAAGGCAGATATACCGTCAGCGGGCCCGCTCTGCCTCTCTGATAGCCACCAGCTGCGGACCCCACCCCAAGGCATCAATCCTGGTCCGGAAGGAGAATTGATGGCCAGCATGGTGGCCTGGCTCTCAGCCCTGGCCCACCTGATCCTCTACAGCCAAGGAGTCAGTCTGTGTTCTGATGGTCCGAGGCCTTTGAGCTGTGAGGGTGTCATATGAGGTGTTTTGTGGGTCTCTCTGCTGCTGTTTCTTTTCTTGTAGTTCCCCGAATCTCCTAATAAACTTTCCTCTTGCAAAGAAGACATAATTCTCATTTGTATTCATTCTTTTCAAAGTGTTCACTCTGTGTTTGCTTCTTATGAAGCCACTTGAAAGCCCGAGAGGACTTTATAGTTTAACCCTCTCCTAAAAGGTTGTCATCACCATTCATTAACCTTCATTAAGTACAGTGAGCCCCAGCTTCCACTCAGCTCAGCATAAAACCAGCAGGATCGCTAGGGCAACAGGCCTCATCTGAATATGATAAACATTCATCATGGGACCTGCTCAGTAAAACGCAACGGTTAGCATCTCTAGAAAGTTCCACTTTTTCTTTTCCAAGTCCTTCCCAGAAAAGGATAGAAGATACTATTTACTGATCACCTACTAAGCACCAGGAACTGTGCTACTGATTTTTTCTCCTACATACGAAGTCTGGTAATCAAGTTTGTGAACTGCCCAAACAACTCAGGAAGGTTTCGTAAGTGTAGCTGTGTGGATAGGCACGCTCCCGTTGACGTGTGGCAGGGTCTTGCTGCATGGCGTTCATTCTTGTTGCGTGTTTTTGTGTGCCACACGATGACAGCTCTGGTGGTCATTCCAGAAAAAGAGTTCCAAAGGGTGGTTTGAAAGGTGGACTAGGCACTGGCATCAGTGCACAGCTTTCCCAGGGGAGTACTTTGAAGGTGACCGTAGTCCTATTCAGGAGTGAGGTATGTAGTGCTTTCCGAGGATGAGTTCATGAACTTGTCAGATCTCACTGTGAGGAAGGAGCAATGACAAGGCTGAACCCAGGCCTCACTCTGCAAGTCAGTTACATGTGAAGTGTGGCTGGGAGAGAATAAAACTGAATCCAGACAAGCACCTGGACCTTACACAACTTCCCTGGGAAACACGATACAATTGGTGCTCAAAACATCTGTGAAACTCTCCTTTGGGAGATACTTAATAACCCACTCAGAATAGTAAAAAGGGCTGTCTTCTATATTCGAGTAAAGCCCATAGATTTTTTAAAGTGTTTCTCTTCTCATTTGATTTTTCTAACCACTGGAACTAAATCTGAATTTTGGAACCCTCCCTCCTGCAAAGTTATTTAGAACCAAACTAGGATATTAAGTGTCTGGTGTCTGTGAATGCTAAAGGTGACGGCAATGCCGGTGTCTTGTGCTGGCATCTAGCCAAGGTCAACGGCTCCCACCACTGTGCATGCTGTGATC